GCATGCCCTCAAAAGTGGTTCCCTGGGGTTCAGGCCCTGCCTTTATCCCTGAACCACCAGCCTTATTTTTAACCCTGCTGACGAAAGAAAGATAATCCGAATGAAATCAAGAAGAGTGCCTGATCCCTGCCCCTCCCCCTGCCCCAGTTCCTGCTCCTCCCCTTCCCCGCCCCCCCGCCCCCCCCAGGGTCAGAGCCATCCAGGAGACCCTCCCTCAGAGGCAGCGGCCCAAGACGGGAGCACTCAAAGAAGAAGAAACGGTTCTGCGTTTGCCCAGCAGACCCGGACTCAGGGAGGGATCCTGGCACTTAAAGGGAAACACTTGGGGCTCCTGAGCAGCCCGGGACTGCCCAAGATAGAGCTGGATTTTCTGTCTGCCAGGCCCATGCTTCTCAAACGTTAGTGAGTAGCAGAAGCTTCTGGAGGGGCTTATAACACACAGATTCCTGGGCTTCTTCCGCAGATACTCAGTAGGTCTCGGGTGGAGCCCAAGAATCTGTATTTCCGACAAGCTGCCAGGGGATGGGGGAGGTTGGGGGGGTGCGGCGTGCACCACTCTGTGAGTGGCACTGAACTAGAAGCAGGACCCTCTGGGTAACAGCAGCTCCGCCTGCCCTTCACCCTGGGCGCTCCAGACACCCCCCATCAAGGCTGCCTCGGTCCCCGGACCTGGACAGCCCTGAAGGCTGTGCTGAGTAATTTGGACTCCACGTCAAGCACCGCAGGGAGCCTTGCAAAGATTTTAAGCAACAGGGGGGGCCATTGGCTGTCCGGAGGAAGCAAGCTCACCGTACCTGGTGCCACTGCACGCGGTCAGTGGTAGGGAGCCGGCCTGGAGGCAGCGGTGGGGGGTGGGGCTTGGCAGGACGAGTGACAGAAGGGTGGAGAGGTGGGCAAGTTCAAGAACCATAGAGGGAGCAGAAGAGACAGGACGGGAAGAGTGACAGCTGTGGATGTCGAAAGGCGGTGAGGGTGGAGGGTGCAGGAGGACCCTGGGATTCCTGGCTTGGAGGCTGGGGCGCCGGGGAGCCGTACCAGAAATCTGAGGCATTGAAGAGGGGGCGCCGAGAAAGGATTCAATTGGCCAGACGGACGGACACGACAGAGGAGTGTGCTGTGTGGCCACCCCGCTCTCAGCCCCCACCCCCTGCCCCGTTCTGGCTCCAGAGAGGCTCCACAGATGAACCCCCAGAATCTTCCAGGGCTCAGTGTGAAGGCTGCCATTCTGGCCTGAGGAATCCTGCAACAGAGCCTCAGAGCACCAGGAACCCAGCCTCACCCCACTCGCATTACCAAAAAAGGACATTTTCTCAGCTGGAAGGCTCACCCAGCCCTCCCTGCTCCCCCCACCTGGGGTTTCAGGTTTCCAGGGAAGTGTCTCTGAAAAGTTGAGAACTCTGAATCACACGCACCCGTGGACAGGCAAATAAGAACCTGTGGACAGGCACGTACCACACTGAGTTTGATGTCACAAATGTCTTTTTCCTCCTTCGCCTGCTTCCTCTCCTCCGCCACCACGACCATCATCCTCATCATCCCTCAGCCCAGCCGTGGGTACATGCACACTTTCATATGCTGCCCGTCAGTGTTCACAGCAGCTCCAAGAGGGGAGAATTATTATCCCCCAGATGAAGCAGCTGAGGCACAGAGAGGCAAAGCCACACACCCAAGGTCGTAGAGCCCCGGAGGGGTGGGAACGAGGGCGAGGAGAGCGAAGTGACTCATGCAAATGCAGGGTCTGCTCCAATCTTTATTTAAATTTGTTCATAGCTTATTCATCGAGGATTTTTTTGCATGAATTTTGACTTTTTAAAAAAGATTGCATTCAAATATGATTTATCCAGATTACCAAGATTTTTTGGCATCCCCCTCAATGTAGAGCCGGAGGTGAATGAATCAGCCTAGTCCCAGCCTTCGCGAAGCCCAGATTGGAGCCCAAGGCTGCTGACAGCAAAGCCGTGCTCTTCACTGTCCCCTGTGGGACCCCGTTGCCCATCTATATGTCCACATGTGTGTTCACTTAAGTATACTTTCATTCGGTAAAATGTCCTTGTGGCGGTATGGCGGAGTGCAGAGGCCAGAGGCTTGGGAATCAGACAGTTCTGGATGAACTCCACCACTCACTACTGAGCGGAAACATAGCCTGTGGTTAAGGACACAGACTCTAGATCCCAGAATGCCTTGGTCTGAAATCTCACTCTGTCACTCACTGGCTGTGTAAGTTCAGGTAAAATCCTTAAAACACTCTTCTGGGTCCTGGCTGGTGTGGCTCAGTGGACTGAGTGCCGACCTGTGAACCAAACAGTCGCTGGTTCGATTCCCAGTCAGGGCACATGCCTGGGTTGAGGACCAGGTACCCAGCTGGGGGCGCACAAGAGGCAACCACACATCGATGATTCTTTCCCTCTTCTCTCTCCAAAAATAAATAAATAAAATCTTAAAACAAAAAAAAACCCTCTTGTGGCCTAGAGTTCCTCTCTGTAAAGAGGGCTGATGGTAATAACATCTGCCACATGGAGTTATTGGGGTAGTTAAGTGAGTTAATTTCTGTAAAGCCCTTGACATGTGTAGCAAATGCTTTGTAAGTGTTAACTATTATCTTGCACCTTTGAGCAAGATCTGAGACTCAGTTTCCCCACCTGTGAAGTAGGGACAGTAAAAACTACCTCCCAGGCAGTTTTGAGGGTTGAAAGGGATAACATAAAGGGCCTGGCACGTGGTAGGAGCTTAATAAAAATTTACCTCCCTTATTGCGGGCCCTGTTCTGTGCTGGAGACTGAGATAGAGACACAGGCGTATCAGGTCCCTCAGGAATTAACGCATCTACTCACGTGGACACTGATTAGAGCTTTCAGTGCCCCAGAGGCACAGAGTTTCTACCTCTTCTCCGGCCTTTGCACGTGCTCTTCCCTCTGCCCGTCCGGCCCCACCTCTACGGGCCTCCCTTCTGTGTGCCTTCAGGCCACAGCTTACCTGCCCCGCCCTCAACGAAACCTCCCCAGCGAGGCACCTCCGTGCCGAGCTCTGTCACGTATTTCTCTTCCGCTTTTCCATTGTACGTGCTCTTCCTTCAGGGCATGTCTCACATTCTCAAGGAAGTACTTTGAATTCAGTTACATTTTATTGAATGATTTTTGTTGTTTGTTTGACAGTGAGGGTGGGGGCTGGGCTTGTCTTGCCCACAGGGAGCTCTGTCCTCAGCCCCTGGCCACGCATGGCGCGTGCACTCGGACAGGAGTCACGGAGGGTTCACAATCCCAGCTCCTGCACTTAGTGACCCTGTGACCTAGGGCGAGTTATTTAACCTCTTTGTGCCTCAGTTTCCTTTTCTGTACAATAGTGAAAATAATAACAGCACTGGCTTTCCAAGGCGTGAGGATTACAGCAGGGAACCTTTGAAATTCCTTTAGAGCGGTGCCCGGCCCATTCGTAAATGCAGCTGTTACTATTTTAGTAGGTGCTTCTATTAGGCCAGACTCACAGCTGAAACAAACATCCCTGGAATCCCAGGTGCTTAATGCACTACATGTTTAAGACTTGCTCAAATGTTCCACATCAAAAAAGTAAATTGTAATAAAAATTTTCAGGTCCTTAAAAAAAATATTCCACATTTAATGTTTAACTTGAATGCCTAAATGTTCCAACATGAGACTGTGGGAGGGGACTTCGCTCTACGCAACAGTCATTTACCGACCCAGGTTCTTTCTACTGTGTGTCTTAACCCGGAGTTCACGGGGGGTTCTCTGAACACCATCCAAGGAGTCCATGAACTTAGATGCTGCCTGAGGTTAGACTCCCTAGAAGCTGAGCCTGAGGTGGAGATCCTTGTGCACATGGTTAATGAGGGAACACTCTCAGGAGAGAAGGGAGTGAAGAAAGCAGGATTGGATAGGGAAGTAGCTAAGCAAGGATGTAGCCTTACCTGGCATCCTGCCTCCGCCAGGGACGCAGGAGCCTGGCGCATGCTCCGTAGAGTTAGTTCCTCTTAGGGTGATAGGGAACTGGAGATGTCATCAGTCATTGGTTGTGGGCTGCCTGGTTGGGGGGAGGGCGTGTTTTGACCTTGGAACAAGGTGGCTTCTATTGGCTGTAATTCTCTGGAGCCGCCCTGAGCCATTAGCAGCCAATATAGCACCTCGGGGTGGGTGTACTGCCCAATAAACGGATCAGGGAAGAGCACCATAAGTGTTTACAAGAGGTGGGAAAACTACACCTTTATTTTGACTAGCCTCTCCCTGAAATTTTCCATTTTCTTCAATTATGGAAATAAGCAATAAACTACAATAGTATTAGCAGTATCTGTGGCTTTGTCACCCGTAGAAATCACATGTATTTTCATGTCACATTACTGTTGTTGCAGGTATCCTTGAAATATCCTTTATGCTAATCTGCACTTGAAAATTACAGTAGATAATAGACTTGCTAGGTATTTTGTCTAATGTATTAATAAAGAAAGACATAGTGTATTACAAATTTGTTCTTTTAAGCATTTTGGTAACAGTGTATCAATATAATTACATCTTTTTATAATCATGTTTTTTATGCATTTTAAAACATTTTGAGAAGGGGCCCATAGGTGTCACCAGATGCCAAAGGGGTCTCTGACACAAAAAAGATCAAATACTCTGTTCTGGGGCCTTGGCCTCCTCTTCATTTTACCAGCAGCAGGAGACAGAGAGAGGAAACAGAGGATCATAGGAGAGGTTTTTATGGGCCAGGCCTGGAAAAAGCATACATTACTTCTCCCCACAAGGCATTGGCTAAGCTAGCTGACCATACCTAGCTGCAAGGGAGGTTGGGAAATGTCTCTCTGTGTGCCCAGAAAGAGGAGGAAATGGTCTGGGGAATGCACAGCAGTCTGGACCACAGGGCTCAATAAATATTCACTGACAGCCTGAATGATGGAGTGCTCGGTCCAGGGTGTCTCTGTGGGTTGGGGAGAAGGGGCTGAGGGCTGGTTCTCTGGGGGAATCCTGAGTTTCCATCATGTTGTCTCCTAGGACAAGCCATGCCAAGGCCAAAGCTGAGGCTGCAGAACAGGCCGCCCTGGCTGCCAACCAAGAGTCCAACATTGCCCGCAGTTTGGCCCGGGAGCTGGCTCCAGACTTCTACCAGCCAGGTAGGGCCAGCCACGGAGGGGACAGGCAGGACAGGGTGGGGGGAGGTTGCCAGGGGGTGAACACTTAGCTTTTTTCCTTGTTTGCTGGAAAGCTGACATGCCCACGTGGGTTCACGATTGCCTGTGAGTCCCAGAAACTGTGCGGCATGGGACAAACATGCAATGGTACAACACGGGGCTCATGCTGGGATTGTGCTGGGGGTATCAGAGGCCCCCAGTTGTGGACTGGCCCCACTCTAGGCTGTTTCTTCTTTCTGAGAAATGAGGCTGCAGAGTAAGGAGGACCTCTTGGCTCTGATACAGACCTTGCACTTGGATAGAGTGATGGGAGCCCCCCAGGATGGGATATTGTTTTTCCCGACATGACGTGTTTTAAGATGAGTGGCACGATCGGATTTGGTTTCTGAACGTCAGAGCTTGTAACACAGAGCTTTGCCTGGGGAGGCTAAGTTGCTTCTGGTTCCAGCGCTCCCCCTGCTGGTCCCAGGATGAATGACACTGCCTGCCTCTGCCTTGGGGGGCGGGGGGCCACAGCAGTAGCTCTCACTGTGTGACCGGCCCCGCATTTTTTCATCCAATTAGTCCATTTATTAGTATTTAATATACTAATTATTCAGAGTGATTTTCATCTCTCTGAGCCTCCCTTTCTTCATCTATAATATGGGGGTTAATAGCATTGACCTCATAGGAGTGTTAACGCTATTACATGGGCTAATATTTGGAAATTGCTTCAGACAGTGCTTGGCACAGAGTAGATGGTGAGTAAGTGCTCCTGGGTAAATAAACGAGGCTCAGCGAGGTGAAGCAGCTTGCCCAGGATCGCCCAGCGCTGCGCTGGGACTGAGATTCGAACTCACCTCCGGTTATTATCCCTGGCAGGTCCGGAGTATCAGAAGCGCCGACTGCTCCAGGAGATCCTAGAGAACTCGGAGAGTCTGCTGGAGCCCCCAGACCGGGTCCCCGGTGCCGCTGGCCTCCCGGAGCGGCCCCGCGAGAGCCCGCAGCTGCACGAGCGCGAGACCCCTCGGCCCGACGGGGGCCCCCCTTCGCCGGCCGGAACTCCCCCGCAGCCCAAGCGGCCCCGTCCGGGGGCGACCAAGGACGGCCTGCTGAGCCCAGGCTCCTGGAACGGCGAGTCCGGCACCGAGGGCAGCCGGCCGGTCACGCCGTCCGGTGGCCGCCGCAGCCCAGCGCGCCCGGCCACCGAGCACATGGCCATCGAGGCGCTGCAGGCGCCACCCGCGTCCCCGCGGGAGCCGGAAGTGGCGCTGTACCAGGGGTACCACAGCTACGCGGTGCGCACGGTCCCCTCCACGCCGCCGCCCGTAGAGGAAGAGCCCTCGCCCGAGGCCTGCGAGTCTGACTCCGCGCCCCCGAGCCCGGCCACAGCCCCAGTGGAGGTCCCCGCGCTTCGGACCCCGGAGCCCGCGCCCGAGACCCCCGCCAAGCTGGAGCCCAAGCCCATCGTCCCCAAAGCCGAGCCCAAGGCCAAGGCCCGCAAGACTGAGGCCCGAGGGCTGACCAAGGCCGGGGCCAAGAAGAAGTCTCGCAAAGAGGCAGCGCTGGTGGCCGAGGCCGAGGTGGAGGTGGAGGAGGTGAGGCAGTTGGCAGAAGGAGGTGTCCAAGGTCCGATCCTACAGGGGGCTGAGCTTCAGGCAGGATTCGAGTGTGGGTGATTCGGTGGGGAGGGTGATGGGACAGAACTGAGCAGGGAGAGACCCTAGCAGGGATGTGGGCTTAGTCGAGCACAGCCTGATGCCTGTAGACTTGGCAGTGAAAATTACACTGCAGTACCCGCCATGGTGGGGCAGAGGGCTGATCTTTGTACCTGCTCTCTGGTTGAGAGGCGCAGGGGCGGGCAGTTCTTTGGAAAAGGGAGCAGCTGGGGATGGAGGGGGTGCACCTGCAGGGTCAGGGGGTTCCCAGCGGGGCCCCAGCAACACAGCTACAAGGTGTAGCAGGGAGGGCTTCCTGGGGGGCGCGGGAAGGGCCTAGCAGGGCTTGGGTCCTGGGCCTCCAGGTTTGTTAGAGGAGGCTGGGAGCAGGAATTGCAGCAACAATGAGTGAAGCCAGGTGCCCTGGGACTGATGAGTGTGGCATTAGTGGGGAAGGCCACGTTCCTGGGTTCCAGGCCCAGCATTCTGCTTTGGGGCACGTCCTTGCCCCTCTCTGGACCCTGAGTGCTGTGGTTATTTATTTTCAAGAATTCTCCCAGCTCTGATGGTCTGTTGTCCAGGTGTGGTCACAGCAGGGAGCGAAACAGGAAGGTGCTCTCAGGAGGGTCCTTCTGGAAGTTCCTGCTCCTCTGTCTCCCCTGTTGGAATGGGGGTGGGGGTGGGGGGGACTCAGAGGCCGTGGGGACTCAGGCAGCCTCTCTCCGCTGCTCCCAGGTCCCCAACACCGTCCTCATCTGCATGGTGATCCTGCTTAACATTGGCCTGGCTATCCTCTTCGTCCACCTCCTCACCTGACCCTCATCTACAGGTACGGCTGGGAGGAGGGGGCGGGAGTCCCAGGGAGGCTCTGGGCACCGGACTGTTGGAATGTTGGATAGAAGGGCCCGCTGCCTCCGGGGCCTCGGTTCTGTGCTTAATTGAGGCCCATCCCCCATCAGAGGCAGGGACCTAACTGTGGTTTGGACAGCTCGTAACCCTCCCCAGTGCACGCGTGTGTGCGCACGCACATGCCTCTCATTAGCTCAGCATTTGCAGAGCACCTGCTTTTTGTCAGGTGAGTCTGGGGGCTTCGCTCACTTACTCATCTGAGCAACATTTACCGAGCGCCTACTTGGCTGGGATCTAGGGATGCAGCAGGGACTCACCCTGTCCGGAGGAATGGAGCAAACACCATGGGAGTAAACCCTCGATTTACAGTTCATTAAGTAAGTCTTGTGGCTCAAATGTCAAGCAAAACTCTCCTTGCCCCTTTCCCCCAAGAGCTCACAGGTCAGCACTGAGTTCACCTGGGATGGCCGACCACCGTCTCACTGCCGCCCTCTCGCTCTTGGCCTGTCCCCCAGCCCTCAGCCCTTTTTCTGAGACCCTCCTGTCAGTCGGCTCCAACCGTTGGTCCCCCTCCCTCTGTCCCCTCCCCGCCCCCGCCCGTGATGGAGCTGGGAGAGCGATGAGCAGGCGGTGAAGGGAGCTGGGTTAAAGGCAAGTGGTCCTCACTGTCTCAGGATGAAGTATCTACAAGACAGGATCTTTCTCCTGCGAGGCCAGTCTTCACAGGGCAAACCCTGTGCCTGGCGATGCTAACAGGGTTTCTGCCTTGATCCTAGCTCAGTGTGGGCTGGGGGAGCCAACCCAGCCCCGGGAGGAGGAGAGGAATCCCCTTCCCGTCCCCATGTAAACATAGCCAATGACAGTGTTGGCCTGCTGGGTGCTGGGCTGGGGGTGAATGCTGCCGGTTGCATAGGGGATCTGGAAATGAGTGCTGCGGGGATGGAGGTCTTAATGGCCGGAGGGATGGAAAGGGGTGAGCCAGCTGTTCGTAGGGGAGGCGGAAGGAAGGGAAGTGGTGAACTGGGCAAAGGGAACAGCATGTGCAAATGAGCAGAGGCAGCAACCAGAGGGAAAATGAAGCCGTGCTTTGTGAGGGCCAGAAGAGGCCTCAGGGTCTCGTCTCTGATCCCATCGGGCCAGTCATGGGACGGAGCTACCCTGGAGGTTGGGCAGTGGATGGGAGGATCTTGCCCCTGAAGCTCAAACGCTGCCTTGAACGTGGCCAAGCGTCCGTCTGTGCACCCTCCCTCCCTCCCTGCTTCACCCGACCCTCTTGCTGTCTCTCTGCAGAGCCAGGAGTTCCCGCTGAGGACGCGAAGACCCACCTTTCTGCAGTGCCGGGCAGGGCGGCCAAGGAGGCCTGGACTCTGCACCTGGAGCCCTGGGTCCCAGCTCACACCCACACTGCGAACATTGAAGAGGCTTCCCGTGGTGCCCGTGCTGGGCAGTGGAGGTGCCCAGAGGGATCGAATGTGCTGGAAACCCTCCTGGAGCTCCGCCCAGGGGCAGGGAAAGCCCTAATCTGCGCCTGTCCCTCATCGTCATCCACTCCTTCACCTTGTCCCTAGGTCACTCCCTCCCTGGGCTTTTGTGTGTTTTGGGAGAAGCCACCAAACCAGAATATTAATTAAATCTCAGCCCCTTTCCTGCTTCCCTCACCCGCTTTATTTTAACCTCTGGCTGCTGGGCCGACAGATCCCTGCAGGGAGCCAGCAGCGAGGGAGATGCCCTCAGGCAGTGCAAAGTCCCTTCCTGTCACTGTTTTGAGCCAGCACACACACTGTCCCCTGCTTACAGGTGTTCTGGATGGCAGTAGAGGAAACAGGCGTGCTCGATTTGCATCTACCAGGATGCAGCGCTCCTGTCTCCTCCCATCTGTCCCACTAGCTCCCCTTCTGGACCAAGAGAAGAGGAGGAGATGGGAGGGACTGGAGCCTTTGGCCGGGAAGCCACTGACCAGGTGGCCAGGGGCCGGGGGTGTGAAGAAGAGCTAAGCGGAGTTAGGACGGCCCCTGCGTTTGCGTGTGCCCGAGCCTGGGCTGGCATTGCGTTTAGGGCTTTCAGGGCGCGCAGGGTGCTGAGGGGTCACCGTGCCGGAGCCCTGGGGCTGGCGAGATAAAGCTGCTGCCACACCCTGCGGATTGGTGTGGCTGCTCCCCCCACCAGGGCCCGCCGCAGGCTCAGGGGACATTGAGCATGGAAGCCTTTGGATGACCAGGCAGATTTCCCCAGGGCAGACAGGCAGGTCCAGGAGACAGGCTGCTTATCGACCAGCATTTCCCAGGGCGAGAGGCGCAAGTCCAGGGCTCCCGCCTGGTACGGTCTGTGTGATAATAAGCCCCTCCTCGGCTTGCGTGGCAGAAGAGGTTTGCATGTAGCTCATTACAGAAGTTTGGTACCACACTGGGTCTCTGGGCCCTCGTGCTGGCTGGGGGTGGGTAGAAGCTGAGGGCTCGTGGCCCCCTGCCCCTGGGAGCATGGAGAGAACGTCCCGGGCCCCTCCAGGCTGGGGAGGGACTCCATGATGACATCCAGACAGAGCCGGAGGGGCTGCTGCTCTCCTACCTTTGTTTCCATGGCCCTGGAGCGCTTGGAGTTGTGACCTGGCCTCCCCAGGCCAGTTCTGCCCCCGGAAGTTCGCTTCTGACAGGGTCCGCTTTCCCTGCCCCCTGAATACTTGGGTCCAGCTTCACACTTGCTCTTTCAAGCCCTGCTGGGGCCGTACGGACTGTGTTTCTGCAGAGAAGCCTGTGGACCCTCCCGTCCTCCGCAGGCCAGGGCCCTCGGCTCTGTATCGGTGTTTGGGCTTTTCTGGACTCCTGGGGAATGAGGGGGGCAGGTTGGGGGCACTGCTCAGGGCTGCCCGTTCCCAGGCCTGGTTTGGGGGCTCGTGTTTGGGGCAAGGGTTCAGGAAGCTACGGTCTGTGCATTAATAAACCTGCATCTGCTCACAGGCTCTGGCGGGACTGCAGTGTCTGCTTGTGGGCCCAGGATGCTGGATTGGTGGGGGGCGGGCGAGAGGGGCTCGGGGCCTCTGGGCCATGCTGGTCCAGGCTCCATCGTCCCTCTCTTGTTGTTCCCATCATACCTAGTGAGGGGCAGCTCAAAGGCCACAAACCTCGAAGGGGCCGACCCCACATCTCTAAAGCTGACTTCCAGAAGCTTTCCTGAGCAGCCAATGGTAGGAGAAAGAGCCCATCCTTTGAAGTTAGGTCTTCCTGGGCCCCAGTCTCGCTCAGTCACTTATTTCACCTCTCTGAGCCTCAGTTTCCTCATCTGTACAATGGGGACGGTAGTAGAACCAGGTAGCCCCTTGGGGGGAGGGGTGGCAAGGATTACGTTATACGCTGAAGCTGATGGAGAGGCCAGTCACAGAAGCTCAGAGTGGAGGCTTGTGGCACTGCAGTGCTGTCATTAGCCCTGCAGACTTGGATCGATGGCCTCAGCAGCCCCAAAGGGTGTAGATGGCTCAGGCCCCAGTCGGGTAGTCACAGACGTCTCTGAGGGAGACCCAGAAGCCATCTTTAAACTCTACAGAGGAGAAGAGACTTCCCAAGGTGGCACGGCAAGTCAGTGATTGGGAAGAAGCTGTCGTGAGGACTTGTTTGTGAATCTGCACCTTCCATTACGTGCTGAATGTCGGGGAGGATCCCTCACCCGTCAATAGGCTCCAATTCAGGCAGGTCCGGGAGGGATTCAGTGATCAGGTGTCCTGGCTCTTTCCCCAGGGCTGCCATTGGTGTGGCAATCATTCCATCTGTCTGCGCCTCAGTTTCCTCTTCTGCCAAGGAGACCATAACCCGCGCCCATTGCCTTGTTCCCAGGCAGTGCAATTGCAAGGATGGAATGAGGTGTATTAGGGGTGATAAAGAGGTTTTCCAAACCCCAGGATGACCCAGAAGTCACCAGGAAGAAGGACGGGCTTGGAGGGGCCCCTGGAGGAGTGGGAGAGTGGGACTGATCATCCCCAGGGCCCTGATAATATACTCAACAAGGAAATGGGTGAGCAGCCAGCCCGGTCAGCTGGTCTGTAGACTGGCTGTCTGCGTGTGCCTGTGCGTGTGTGCGTGCGTGCGTGTGTGTGTGTGTGTGTGTGTGAATTGGAAGTGGGGATTAGGGACAGCAGGAAGACTATATTAGAATCACCTTGGATGGTTTGGAAAAAAAGCTCAGTCCCAGTCCCTGCTGGAACCGGGGAGTCAGGTAAGGTTGGCTGGAGTCAGGCGCCCTCTAGTGGCTCAGGTGCAGCACAGCCTGGCTCCTGTCTGATCCCTGCCAATGGCAGCTCCAGACATTGGTCTGGTCCTCTGCCACGTCCGGGTTCATTTAAGGTGTCTTGTGCCATAGAAGAACTTAAAACCACCATGTGGGCATTGCTGAGGCCTATGATCACTGACCACTGGCTTGGGGTCTCAGCAGGTCTTTTCCACGGAAGACAAAAGGATGAGGCCCTGGGCCCGTGGGATACAGATTTGGGATTTGTGGCAAGAAGGGAGTTTTCATGATCTCTGATGGACTCGCAGAGGATCTGGCTGCATGTAACAGAAAACCGGCCCTATTATGACCTTTGGAGGGCTCAAGCCTGAAAAAAATTATATGGAGCACCTCTACTATGTAACTCAAAAACAATGCCTAAACTGTACAACACAAAACTTGCACGTATGCTGAAATTAAAATAAGCCTTTAATTTTCTCTTTTTTTTCTTTGCACAAATTCAGAATTTTGTGCAAAATCCTGTGTCTGTGGAGGCTGAGTTCCCCCCTCCCGTTCCCTCTGCCCTTGTCTTGCTGGCTCACCAAGAGAAGGGAAATCCTACACTTGATGGAGCCAGGTGGCTGTGGGTCAGACACTGTGCTGTGTGCATAACAGCAGTACGGTTCAGGGCAATAGCTATGAAATCAGGTCGCTGGTTCGAATCCTGGCTCTTTCCCTTAACGTCTTAAATCTTCTTGACTTCCTTTTGCAAGGTAATGGAGAATATCATTGTCTGAACCTAAAGGCCAATGTAGCTCCCAATTATTGTTAGGTCCGCTACACTGCAGTTCTTAATTATAACCACCAGGTGGCGCCACTGTCCTGCACATGAGTGATCTCAAAGCTTGGCTCAAGAGTACTTTAAAACAAAAAAAATCACCGTCACTACTTCTGATGCACCACAATAATAACAGCTGTTACAAATTAAACACTACATGCCATGCCCTGCACTAAGCATTTTCCTTGCATTATTTCATATATTCCTTACAACAGCTTTGTTGTAAGGTTTGAAATCAACTGCATTTTACAGATAAGCTAAGATTCAAAACCAGGTCTGTCCCTTCGAAATCTATACTCAACCATATCTTCAGTGGAGAGCACAAACTAGACGCTCAGAGGCTGCATTTGGCTGGCAAACTTGTTTTGGCCACCCCGGTGCTTTAAAACACATTGAACTTAAATGCTTTAAAACACATTGAACTTAAATGCCCAAGGGGACTGGGCAGAGATGCTCTCTACTTACCCACAGTCCTCTCGCAGTGGGTCAAGGAGTAAGAAGTGGGAGGAAGAGCCATCTGGCACCCTTCAGATTGGAAGGGTCTTCCTAGGGCCAAGATCATAAAAAAGACCCACCTACATGTACGTCACTGCGTTTTCAAGACATCGCAGACAAGGAGACAACCTAAAAGCTCCCAGAGAAGGGGAAGAATCCAGCTGACACACAAAGGAGTGGCAGGCAGAGTAACAGTGGGTTTTCCAACAGCCATGCTGGAAGCTAGAGGGTAGTGAAGCCATGCCGTCGGAATTCGCAGAGAAGGTTGCTTTCAACCCAGACATCACCCCCTGTCAACCTGCCAAACAAGTGTGAGGGGAGAATAAAAACATTGGCAAATCTGCGAGCTTCTTTCCCATCTGCCTTTTCTTAGAAAGCTACTGGCAGATGCGTTCCACCACCACAAGGAGCAAAACAAGGAAGAGGAGGAGATGGGATCCAGAAAGAAGACCCTTTGGTGGAGAAGAGCAAGGGGATTTGCTAAGTAACCTTAAAAGGAAGCTTCAGATGGCGCTGTAAGGCTGCGTGGGGGTGGGGGCGGGGCGCGGGAGAGAGAGAGAGAGAGCGCTTGCCCTGGGGCACAGAGTGTCTGGCTGTATAGGCAGAGCGAGTTCCTCATTTTGTGAGATTTGGGGACAAATGAGGGACACAGGAAAATTAAACACACAAAGAACAAAACACAAACATTGATTCAAGGGAAAAATATAATGAAAGAACACAACATGGCCCATCAGTAAATATTAGTTTACATGATGATAATGTAAACATGGAATATGGATTTAACCACACTTATTTTGGAGCTTTCTTGGGAGATTGGGGAAGAAGCAGCAAAGAGAGAGGCGTATGAGCACTCAATCCTCTTTTTTCCCCCCCACAAAAACAAGTGACTAAATCACTTCAGACTGATATGTGACTTATAAACATATCCCCACCAGTGCCAGCTGCAGCTGCGGGCTGGGGCAGGGCAGCCCTAGTATTTGCGGGGTGAGTCAAGATATAAAGGGAGGCCCTGCCCGGAGCCCACCACCCTTCCTTCCCCCTCGGAGGACCCTCCCGCAGCGGCGGGGCCTTGGGTGCGTGTGTGCGCCCAGGCCACGCAGTTTGCAAGTCTGGCTTGGCCCGCCTCCCTTGGCCCAGGACGACACCTTTGGCCGCCTCTCGGGTAGAAACACACGCACTTCAGCAGCCAAGAGAACTGGTCCCAAACCCACGCAGGCCCTGGAAAGTACAAAGCGCTTCAGAAAGGTGGGGCACTCCAGGGGGTATGTCCAGGGGGCACTGACCCTGTAGGGAGGGCATCAGCCAAAGCGGGACCCCGAAAGGCAGGGCCCTGTTTCCCAGCCTAACCAGCATCCGAGAGCCCGGCCAAAGCTTCTGACATATCGGCGGTTCTCGGCTGGGGTGGCTTTGCCTTCTAGGGGTCACTTGGCAATGCCTGGGGAGGTTTTTGGTTGTCACACCTGGATGGGCAGGGTGCTGCTGTCATGTAGCAGGTAGAGGCAGTGATGTCGTTAAACTTCCTTTGGTGCACAGGATAGTGCCTCCCTCACATCGCCGCCCGAAAAGGATGGTCCAGCCCCGAATGCATGTAGCTTCCAGGCCGAGAAACCCGAGGGCCTGTGTGTGAGCCCCGTGTGCGCACGGAGGCCAGCAGGTAGGGGGGCAGACCCTGATCCTGCCACTGACTTGTTCTGGGGTCGGTTCCTCCATCTCTCTGTGCCTCTGTTTTCTCGTTTGCAGGATGGGGCCCGCGGCAGCTATTTCACAGCGTGGGTGTGAGAAATAAAACAGACTCTGTGTAAAATGCCTGCCACGTAGGAGGCCGTCAGTGAGTGGTGTAGGCGTTCCTTAGTTGGGGGATAAGAGAAGTGCGTAAATAATATATAAACATGGATAAAGCAAGCAATGGCCGTACATGCACGTTTATTTGTTAAATAACAGAGGAAAGAGCTAAATGAGCCGAGTGTGTTCTGCGAGCTGGGGGGGTCAGGGACAGCGGAGGAGAGCCGTGTCGTGGTGAGCTGCATGGCCCAGCCAGTTGACTTTTTAAGCTGCGCACATGTAGTACTGAAGTTTAAAAATTGAAGTCAAGGACCTTGGACATTAACATTCCTCCTCCCGTGTAGACGCTAATTGCTGTCATAAAACAGCATGAAATTACTGTGTCGGGTCCCACAGGCGTGATTTCACACTGCTGGGCCCTGCTGGGCCCTGCGGCTCCGGCTCCTCGGGGTCCTGCCTCCCTTTCCCTGTCCCTCCAGAGCCCTTGCTCATTCTGAGGGGATATTAGTCAGCTCGGGCGCCCTAAAAAGATACCACCACCCGGGGCTTCCCCAACAGAGTGTGCCTCACGGTTCTGGAGGCTGGGTGTCCAAGATCGTGGGGCCGCTGGTGTCTGGTGAGAGCTCAGGCTGCAGATGGCTGCCTCCTCCCTGTGTCCTCACATGGCAGAGAGAGAGACAGAGAGACAGCGAGACAGAAACAAAGGAAGAGACAAGCTGTCTGGCGTCCCTTCTTACAAGAGCATCAACACCATCGTGAGGACCCACGGTCATGACCTTGTCTAAACCCAACTATCTCCCAAAGGTCCCATCTCCAAATCACATCACTCTGGGGGAGACGACTTCAACATAGGACTTTTGAGAGGGCACAGTTCAGCCCATAGCCGAGGGAAACGGCCAAATCTCAGCTGACCTCCATGACCCTTGTCTCTTGACTGGCCTCCTGCCCAGTACTCTGCTGGACTCTGTCCCATCCCTTGGAGGCAGGGGTAGATTCATGGTACTCTGGGGGCCCCCGGCGTGTGTGCGGTGGGACAGAGTGAGCCAGAAGTAAACTTCGTGTTAAAGCCACTCAGATGTCAGGAGTTGTTACTGCAGCAGACCCTAGCACATTCTGACTAGTACATAAGAAATTTTACCTTCTGGTGTGGAGATTAAATAACAACAATAATAATAATTACTGTTATGAGGTCTTTGTGTGTATTAACTCATTGTTACAACAATCCTTTGAAAAGGAGACTATTACTATCACCCTGTTATAAATGAGGAGATGGAGGGGTAAGAAACTTGCCCAAGGCCATCCGACGTGTATGCAGTGGAGTCAATATTCTCCTGGGTGGGCTGTGGCCAAAGCCTCCCTCCCTCCCTGCCTCCTCCCCATGCCCCACACAGCCCCTTCTGAGTGAAAGCTTACCCTCCAGCATCAGGCGGGTTTGGAATTATTAGTTTCAGGCAATTTGGGGAGCAGAGCTAAGCAACAACTGATGTGTTGGGTAATTAAAAGAAATCCTGAGTCTGTAATAACATGTGAGTCCTTTCAAACTTTCTGGTCGTCTGTGGAAGTTCAGGTGGGAGGGATTACGGCTGGGCGATGTTGGGACTACCCATGCCTTCCTTCCGGGGAGGACAGCTTGGCCTTTGCCTGGCTGTGCCTCCTGTGAGGACCCCAGTGCGGATATGGGGGACCCGCGAGATGGAGATTCGAAGCAGGTGCCCTTCAGCTGGGAAGGGCAGGTGATTCTGGTCCCGGGGCCAGCTCCGTGGGCCGTGGGCAGGCTGCAGGCAGGGCCCGAGGCTCTCACAATGTCAGGGCTCTGTCTGGGGTCCCGGCACTACCATGTGGCCTCGAGGTGCGGCGGGCCCAGACCACAGCCTGGCCTTGTCAGATCAGGGTGCCACGGCCGCGGTGGCAGCCAGTCCTTGGCGAGGCCGTGGAACCCAGGGTGGCAGCTTTGGGAGCAGCTTTGGGGTGGGGGCCTCTGTGGCTGAAGCCTCAGTGCTTTGACAGTGGGTGTGGCACTGGGCCCACGGTGGCTCCTTGGGCTGTGCCCGTCACCATTGCAGGATGGCCTAGAAAGCAAGCTGCAGACCGTTCCCAGGAAGAGGACTTCTTTGTGAAGACGTGGGAAACCCAGCCTCCCCTGGGCCAGCTCTGGGTGCGTTTCAGGGGCTGTACATCTTGCATTTGCAGGTCGGGCCGGAGCCAGTGAAAGAGGGACTTCAGTGATGTGGCCTCACTGCACTAAGCTGGTACCGCAGGTTTGTTTCCCTAGAAACAGGCTGAGCCCGAGGTGGGGATGCAGTTCCAGTGACTTATGGGGAGGGAGGGGAGGGAAGGGGCTGGGTGAGAGGTGGCCGAGGACGCCGTTGCAGCTGGGGACCTGCTGTGGCCTGACCCTGGGGGGCTGGGCAGCGCGCGTGGTGCCATAGAGCTGGCTGCTCCGTTATTTGGTCACTAGTTGGGGGCAGCTCTGGGGGGATGTCCCATCTCTTTCCCGCCCTCTCATCCCATGACTAGCCCACCGTCACCTCCCAGTCAAGGGCAACGACTGGGACAAAGTGGGTGGCTGTGGACAGGGAACAGCCAGCGCTCAGGAGCTGGGGGATGGGCGCTGGCCAATAATGGGACCTAGGTGAGGAGCCAACAGCGTCCACCACAGTTGGCGATGTTTACCCCATGGCCCCGAAATCGGCCTTCTGGTGCCTTCCACTGACCACTGGCTCTGCTCCTGCTCTCTGGGGCCACTGGAGGCACCCACTTGGCAAACCCTTGCCATCTGGAGGCAGGGGATTTAGACTCTGCGCGGGCGTCTCTGAGCGTCCCTTGAGGCGGACGGGCCAGCTTTGGTGCTCGGGCACTTCCAAAGGACTCCAGGGCTCCTCGTGCCGCGCGGAGGGGGCAGGCGGGGCCTCCACCTCCAACGCGGGAACTGAAAGCCTTGCGTCTTGTTCCTGTGGGCTGTCCACGCGGACCCGCCCTGGCGATGCTGTTTTCTCCAATGTAGGAACGGTAGCTGAGCATCACACTGGCTGGGTTGTCACTGTGCTCCTGACAAGCTCCTGGTCGGAAGGAAATTGTAACCCCATGAAATATTCATGTTTCACGTTGCAACAACGCTCCCGACAGGACAACGTGCTGGTTTTGTCTGTCGGCTTGGTTTTCCTTTTTCTTTTTCAGGCGTGGATTACAAAATGCCCCCCAGTGAGGAAACTGCTCACAGAGACATTGCACCCCCTTCCGGGGCTGAAGTGGGGGTTACATGACTGGAGGACCAGAGGCCCTGAGAGCTGCCTGATCGGTGGGAACTCCTCTATCTAGGTCACCCCGAAATAGCTGTGTCGTGGGCCCAACAGCAGGGCAGCCTCCTTACAGCTCCTCCATACCAGGAGATTGTTATTTTTTCCAGGTACAGTTAAGAGTGACAATATTACTTTTTCCTTTTTTTTTTTTTTAAGTATCACTACCTGTGTGCCTAGCACCCATGCCCATTCCCATTTTATTTTATTTATTTTTAAAAAGATTTTATTTATTTACTTTTAGAGAGGGGAAGGGAGGGAGAAGAGAGGGAGAGAAATGTCAATGTGTGGTTGCCTCTCACATGTCCCCTACTGGGGACTCGGGCAGCAACCCAGGTCTGTGCCCTGACTGGGAATTGAACCGGCGGCCCTTCGGTTTGCAGGCTGGCGCTCAATCCACTGAGCCACACCAGCCAGGGCACCCATTCCCATTTTAATCATCACAAGAACCCTATGTGTTTGTGCCCATATTATCCTCCTTCATAGATGGCAAAACTGAGGCCGGAGAGGCCCCGTTACCCAGCAGACCCTCGGGGGTGGCCAAGCGGCAAGGGAGACTTGACCCAACCCTGGCTGACACCAGGGGCCCGCTCCTGGCAAAGCCACCACCAAATGCCACGCTTTGGGAGGCCTGGCCCTGGCCTACAAAGCACAGTAAGAGACAGGCACGTTTTCAACTTTTCAGAAGTTTTATTATAAAGAAATTTGAGAGAAGCACTGGGCACTGAGCCGGACGCTGGCCAGGGCCGGGAAACAGCTGCAAACAACATGAAGAACCCAAACCCAAACCAAACCCCAAACCACGCACACTTTCTGAGAAACTGCATTTCTGTTCTCCAGTTTTCTTCATAAATAGACGAAAGTCGTCCTTGGCCATTTTAAATAGATGGGCGGATGGTTAAAAAAAAAGCGCGATACCTCCGAGTGTGGCCAAAACTGTCCGGTTCCTTGCTGTACAGACGCTGAAACGGTTTGGCAGCCGCTTGCCTTGTGCACATCTCCCTTCAGATCAAACTTAAAAAACATGTGCTAAGGGTCATATAAAATGCTTTTTACCTTAAAGGAAACTACTTTTTCCCCCACAAAATAATCTGACAGATGTCTTCAGCACAGTTCTAAAACACTTAGTCAACTACTTACACGGAGCCAACAGTTCATAGGTTTCATAATCTCTTGTTCACACCGTAAAACCACATTTGCACATCTGTGGCTGGGCTGGTCCCCACCCCATGCATCTGGGGGTGGGTTTCTGTTGCTAAGCAACCCCTCCAGGGGCAGCCCGCATGAGCCTGGGCTGGGGCCAGAGGTCCAGACGTAGGGTACGGTGTGCAGGACGAGGAGCAGGGTCCACAGTAACCCTGGAGCAAGCAGGTCAGGGGGCAGCAGTTTCCTGCAGGTTCTTTGGGCTGGCGGCGGGCATTGGGCTGCCTCTGCAGAGTCTGGTAAGAGGTCGAGGAAGAGACTCAGCCGTGGGGCATTAGCGTGTCACCGTTCTCTCTTCGTGGGCACCCTGCTTCCTGCCAAGGCCTCTTTTCTGCTCTGGGCCCCTCCAGCAGCCTCAGGGAGGAGAGGGGAGGCGGGATTAGGTGAGGTAGAGAGATTTATCCCTGGGGAGCAGGCTGTGGGAGAGAGGAGGGGCTGTCAGAGCGGATGGGGCCCCGCCCGGTGCCACGGGCTCTCGGGGGCCTGCACGCAGGCCCCGGGAGCGCCAGGACAGCTGCTCACGGGCCCTCAGCCCCCACCCTGGATGCCCCTGGAGATGATGAGGGGCTGTGCCGGCCCCTCCCTGACTACCCACGGCAGAAACCAAGCCCCTCCCGCAGTCCCGGCAGGGGACCGCGGTGTCCTCGGTGCTGGGAGAAGGTGGCAGCAGGGTGTCCGTCCTTCTGAGCACCATCGCTCTTGGGGCACTTTTTGTTTTGTTTTGTTTTTAAATGCTAACTTTATTTATTTTGGACAAATACATTTTTTAAAATTCTGTTTATTTTATTTTTTTCATTATCATTTGTTCCCCCCATACCTTCTTCCACCTCCACCCACTGCCTTTCCCCTCCTCAGGTCATTTTGTTTTAGTCAGTTTCTTTTGTAAATTTCAAGCAGAATTAAAGGACGGCAGGTGCTTTTTTACATTTTTAAAATAGGGCACTCGTTTATGACAACACAGATGACCCTTGAAGGCATTATACTAAGCGAAGTCAGTCAGACCGGGAAATACAGGTGTCGTATGATCTCACTTACACGTGGATTCTAAACATCACCCCTTCCCCGCACCCAAACAAAAAGTCGAAGTTCATAAATAAAGAGAACAGGCTGGTGGCTGCCAGAGGTGGGGCGTGGTGGTGGGCAAAACCATGAAGGGGGTCAAAAGGCACAAACGCCCAGCTATAAAACGCACGGGGCCTGGGATGCTATGCAGAGCTCGGTGACTAGAGTTAACAAGACCGTACTGCGTATTTGAAAGTTGCTAAAAGAATAACTCTTAACAGTTCTCACAAAAGGAAAAAAATTTAACTATGAGTGACAAGGGTAACTGGACTCACTATGGTGACCATTTCAATATATGTATACGTATCAAACCCTTATGCTGTACACCTGAAACTAACACGTTATATGTCAATGACATATCACTAAAAATAAATACATAGACTAGGGCGCTGCTGTGGCCTGAGCGCCCTGTGAGAGAAGCTCTGACACGTGCTGAGATGGTCCACGGAGGACCGCCACCCCGGTTTCTGACTTTGGGGGAGGGCTGCGGTGGGAGCCCCTGCCCCTGCTCAGAGCGTGGGGCAGAGAAGCCCCGCCGAGCTGAGTCTGCCACCCAGGTAGACCCTGTGCCCAGGCATGTCAGAAGCGGGGCACGTGCCATGTTTGCTCACTCACCGTCACCGGCCGGCTTGGCAGGGTGAGGAGCAGGGAGGCCAACAGCCAGGGCCGGGCAGCGGATGTAGCCCCGTGTCCATTTACCCCTCCCATCTCTTTCCCACCCTCTCACCGCACGACTAGCCCTCCACCCACGCGGCTCGGGTAAGGACGGACCTACAAGTGCTGATGCCACACTCCCCGCTGGGGTAACTGCTGTCCCAGTCTCCGCTGTTTGTGGGGTTGGATGGGCCAGGCGAGCGGGATCCGGACCCGCTGGGGAACTCGGAGATGTGAGGGAAGTCCTGCCGAGGGGGAAGGGGGAGGAGGCAGGTGAGCAAAGGAGAGAGAACAGGGAGCATGTCTCAGGCAGCGAGGTGCGGGGATGGGGACTGTGTGTGGCCAAGGCGCTCACGGAGGTGCGTCCTCAGGCTCATACACAGGCTCCACTCGGCCTGGGATGCTTCCTCCTGATCCCCTGCAGGGCACCATTTGAAAAATTCAGCGCTGTCCTGGCTGCGTCAGGGGGTGAAAGATTTTGCTTTCAGGGCCTTTCCTTTTTGGGGGACTCAGTTTCCCAATCTGTAAAATGGGAGTCACCATGCTGCGTGGCCAGTCTTGGAACAGTGTCTGTGGACGCATTAGCGGGGTCAGGCCTCAGAGGCTCTGGGGAGGGCCGAGGCCAGGCTGACCAAGCAGAAGCCACAGTGGCCACAGCACCTGAGGCTGGGCAGCAGCAGAGAGGAGGGAAGGAGGGCCTGGAACACGCTAAGAATCTGAACAATCTGTGTGGCAACTTGTCAACTCTTTGCGGCAGTCAGCGCGTCTCAGATAAGGCGTTCCAGACCAAGTTCATTGACGCGGTAGCTGAGGCTCAGAGAGGTAAGGCATCTAGGCTGAGGTCACACAGCTGGCGAGTGGCGGGGCCAGTATTTAAAACCCCAAGCTGCCTCCCTCTCCCAAAGGGGTCCCAGAAGGGCCCATATCTACTCAGTGCTGCTTACCTGCGGCCCTGGAGGTGAAGGGCTCATAGCCAGCTGCACCTGGAGTGCCATGGGAGTGGGCAGGACAGGGGGCTGCGGGGCGGGGGACATGCTGACAGGTGGGCTGAGGAGGGCGCCCTGGGCGTGGGGTGGCAGTGGCAGCTGCTGGTGCAGCGGGGGGCTGAGCGGGAAGGAGGGCGGTGGCGGGGGGGACGCGCTGAGGCCTGGCAGCAGCGACTTGGAGCCCAGCGTCCGGGCGAGGCTGGCGGGCGCGGCCCCGCTGCGGAAGGCCTGCAGGTCCGAGGGCGTCAGGAAGGAGGCCAGGCCTGGCATGGCGTACATGGGCTGTTTGGGCGGCAGCATCTTGGCTGGCGGGTTGGTCTGAGAGCTCTTGGTCTCACCTTGGTCCGGGGAGCTCTGGAGGGAGACAGACACCCGTCATTCTGGAGAAGATGGAGACGCCAGAACCTGGGCCAGGAGACCGGGTGGTTCTGCAACCCACTGGCATGGCCGCCGGCTGGGTCTGTGGCCCCTTGGGGAGATCTGTCGACTAACCAGGGATAATCCAGGGTCCTGAGTGAACTTGGCTCTGCCCATCCCACCATCCCCTGCTTTAATCCTCGGGGCTCCCCAGCCCACGGTGGGACCCACACTCCTCGGCCTCGCCAGTGAGGCCAGCTTTGTCCAACGGGCCCGCCCTCTATTCATGCTCCTCCCCAGCCTCTCTGCCTCTGCTTGTGCTGTTCCTTTGACGTGCGGCACCCTCTCTGCTTGGCCCTTTATGGCCTATCCCGCATGCCACGACCTCTGTAGTAGCTTCCAGACAACACCCGGGCCCCCACCTGGGCCACACGCCCACCGCCATCCTGAGCCTCCGGCACGGCTGGTGTTGATGAAGGAGGCAGGTAGTGTGGTCAGGAATAAAGGCCAAATTTGATGAGTGGCCAAATTGGGTTTGACCCCTCGGATAGCTACCCAGCATGCTGGATCATTTGAGGCAAGATGCTTAACCTCTCTCAGTCTTGGGTTCTTGTTAGAAGAATGAAATTAAATGAAGTATGTGTGTAGAGGCCAGTGCGAGGCTGGCACACAGTAGGTGCTCTGGAGAAATGACCGCAGTATCCACTCATTCCCGTGGGCCTCCGTGCCTGCTCTGCCCCTCAGCAGTCCCACCGTGCCCAGCAGCCCAGCGGTTACCTTGGAGACCAGGCTAGCCCTGTAGGCTGCCAGAGCCTTCAGATACTCCTTTTTCGCCGCTTCAGTCTTCCTCTTGTAGGCCTGAAAGATCCAGAACATGAGCAGCATTGGGGAGAGGTGACGTGGTGAGCCAGAGGTCACACGGCTGCAAGCTGGCCTTTGCCCGTGAGCTGTTTCTACTCCCTATTTGCCCAGAGGCCCCCAAGAGCGCCACGGGCACCAGGTCAGTGGGATAGGAAAGCTTGGGTCTGGAACCCAGCCTTTGAGAGTTGGAGGATAAAAGGGACTGAGATGTTCTCGTTGAACAAACAAATGAGGAAGCAGGGGCCCAGGACAGTTAAGTAGCTAGTGAATGCAGCGGGAAAACGGCAGAATCGCAAGGGACCTAACCTCCCATCTTGGAGACGGGCAAACTGAGCCCAGTAAAGACCTCTGCAAGAGACTCTAGTTCTAGGGGTTGGGCCTGGTTCCAGACCTTACAAGGCCGTCATTGGCTCCGGGACCCCACAACCTCGGGGGGATGGCCCAGAAACGGATGGAGACTCACCTGCTTCTGCTCCTCTCCCAAGCTGTCCCACATAGAGGCCACGATTTTGGACACATCCCCGAAGGTGGCGCTGGGGTTCTGTCCCTTGATGGCGGCCTGAGTGTCCCTGAAGAAGAGCGCGTAGGCTGACACCGGCTTCTGCGGCTCATTGGGGTCCTTCTTCTTCTTTTTCTTTGGGTTCTTGGCCTTTTTTCCTGGGTCCGCTGAGGGCCTCTTCTCCCCCGACATCTGTCCAGGTGAAAGGAGTCAGAAAACCTGAGATGCCCGGGGACTCCGGCCAAGGGGCACCCGCCCCAGCCTCGGGCAGAGCGGAGCTTTCCTCGGCAGGCCCACCCCCTGCTGGCCAGGCTCTGTTCATACAGGGGCGCTGGCCATCCAGGAACAGGGGCAGCTTGGGCCACACTGTGGGGCTAACCACTCCCTAGGCAGGGGATGCAACGGACAGGCAGACAAGACAGACAGAAAGACAGATAGACACACCCCCCCCCGCCCCCCACCCCGGGTAGGAGCCCTGGGTTTTTTGTTTAACTCATTAATGACAATCAGCATAATGGTAGAGCTGATTCAAAGAAATAGAGAGACTGGTTCATGCCCTATAAAGTAATAAAACTATCACTTTTAGGGCTCCATTTTATCTTTTCTACTGGACAGAAGTCATTTGTCTCTCTACAGGGAAAAATTAATTCGCCTTATAATCAGGCAAAAATCGTTCACATCTCTATCACCTTTTCCTCAGGTTAACCTTTACAGAGTATAAAAATCTAATCAATAATGAAGAATGAATCGAAATGAAGTCACTTAACCACTCTGTCCCTCAGTTTCCCCATCAGCCAACGGGAGATAGTAATGGCACCTGCCATAGAGAGTTGGGATGAGGATTACACGCATTAATACTTACTATGTGCTTAGGACACTGGCCCTCATGTTTTAGAAGTGGTTTCTAAATAAAAAATAAAATAAAAACCACCCCCGCCCGGTCTACAGGAGAGACCAAGTTACCGTGATGATGGAGCCGGGCCAGGACGCAGGGCCGCCCACCCCGGCCTGGGGGTCAGGGTCTCTGCACATGGAAAGGGGTGGGAGGCCCTCGCAATGAAGGAGACCCGGGAGGTGTGTGCTCACGTGTTGATTCCGCCACTAGCTCGTTGGGAGATTCCCGACAGGCATGTCTATCCCTGGCCCTTCTGGGCCTCTGTTTTCCACCCGTTAGACAAGATGCTCCCCAACAGGGAGGGAGATTTGGTCAGGGTCAAGAAAGGGCCAGAGCCTGGACGCCGACGTGAGCTGGTGAGCTCTCACCCCGACGTGTGCTTGAAGAGGCCGGACCACCCCCACCTCCAGCCGGGGGGGTCTTTTTGAGAGCCCCATCCCGAGGTCGGTGCTGCCTAGGGGCACCCTCTGCTGGACCACATATTTTTGTCAGAATGTTTTCTCCTAAAAGACCATAGAGGCCATGAGTCGTGACCCTGAGGATCCTGCCCCACTCCATCAATGTCATGGAATGACCAATGGCCATTCAGGAATAAGACTTCATCCTTTTCCAGAATTTCCTTCTTCCTTGTTTTCCAGCCAAGGGCACCGTTATGCCCTGCGAGTCTTTTCTGGGGGTGGGCGATGCCCATTTCCCCGCAGGGCCCGTCATCCCGCCGACGGGCGGGCACCCTACGGCTTCGTACCTCCACCCCACCTACCTTGAAATGCGCTTCTGACTCCTCTTCCTGCGTTGAGCTGGAGGGAGAAGGGGTGGCCGACTTGCTCCCTGGGGGCGACGGGGAGCTGTGGGCGATGCCGCTCCGGATGCCCATCTGAGAAATGAGCTGGGACTGGCTGAGGGCACTCATGTGGCTGGCCAGCATCGCTGGGCGGCCCAGCAGGGGCCCTGGGCGGCCCGAGTCGTAGGCAGCGACCTCCGAGTGGACCATCTCCTGGATCTGAGAGAGGAGGACAGGACATTTTCAGTTAGAAAGGACCCGTCCTGAACCACCATCACGTGCACATGGCGGGGCCCAGGGGAGGGCACGTAGGTGAGAAGTGGGAGGACAGGGCTCCGTCCGTTCTGAGCTGTGGTTTCCCCGTGGGCCCCCGATAGGTGAGTGCCCCCAGGGCAGGATTCAGTGCACCGTGGGGAGACCTGGCCCCTTGAGAGTTTGCCATTCTGTTGACACTCAACTTGGACAGATGGTCAGGATTTCAGCCCTTGCTGAAGAGCTCAGTCCAGCTGAGAATGGATCACTTTATAATACTGAGTCTTCCCTCCTGGGACGCGGTATGTCTCCGCATTTATTCACTATGCAGCATGAGGGCAAAGAGCACAGAAGCTGGAAGCCAACTGTGTTGGAATCCGGGTTCAGCCACTTACAAGCTGGGTGACTTTGGCCAAGTTACTTAACTTCTCTGTGCCTCGGCTCTTCATCTGAAACCTGTAGATAATAGTTAAACCTGCCTTCTAGGGCTGTTAAGGATTAAATGTGCCTAGCACATAGCCCTATATTGTATAAGGGTTTGTGAAATACACAGAATAAATAAATCCCTTAATAAAGTTTTGCACTTTTCTTCCTGTAGTTCAGTAATTTTCTTATTAACTATTCCCTATGATATTTTCTAACTGGTTATTTTTGAGCTATAAGAAAGCTACTGATTTTTACATATAAGCATATCTCATACTAAGTACATATTTAGAATAGTGTATACTTTTTTACTTAAACATTATATATAGATACACTGTTCAGGGAGGCATACCACTTTGCATAGTCTTTCAATTATTTTTATTTTCTCTGCATCTGTGGTTATTTTCTCTTTCTAATTTCTCATGTAAATTTTCTATTTTTTTCCCTCCCTTTTTCTTCATTAGGCAAGCTCATGGGTTTCCTATTTTATGATGTGATATTTTTTTTCTCCTCAAAAGAATCACATCTGAATTTTTAAAAAAGATTTATTATTTACTTTTTAAAGAGAGGGGAGGGGAGGGAGAAACATCAGTGTACAAGAGATACTATTGCACACCCCTAAATGGGGACCTGGCCTGCGACCCAGGCACATGCCCTGACTGGGAATTGAACTGGCAGCCTTTTGGTTCGCAGGCCAGCACTCAGTCCACTTTGCCACACCAGCCAGAGCAAATCTGAAATTTCTTGTTCACCCTACTCCTCTGTTTTCTATTTCTTTGATCTTATTTTAATCTTTATTGATTTCTTTCTCTGATTTTTAAAGATTTACTATTGTTGCTTCCCTGTTAATTCTGAATTGTAGTTTTAATTCAGTTCTCTGAACGGGGCTCCTCATCTTTCAGGTCTTAACTAGAATGTCACCTCCTCAGACTGCTTTGTCTAAAAATCCTAACCCCCTAGCATTGCTTTCTATCATCATAGTTTGTTTCCTTCATTCTTTCAAGCTGCAATTATTTTGGTTGCTTATCGTCTCTCTTCCTGGAAGCTCCATGAGTAGAAGGCTAGTTCACTATTGTATTCCAGTGTCTTAGGTAGAGCCTGGGACAGTACTTTAAAAATATTCATTAAAGGATGGAAAAAGGAAGGGAGGAGAGGATGCCTCCCTGGTAGGAAAAACTCCCAGCTGCCGCTTTTCCTGAGAATGCGATGCAATGTGAGTTGTTTATGGCAAGAGAATGGGGCAGAATCGGTGCAGATCAGGGCAGAGGTGACATTGTTGGCTCTTTCATTACCTTCTTTGAATCATACTTGGGGTAGAACACAGTCATTCCCTACGGGACCAACAATCTCCGAAGAGTGTGTGAGCCACTGGGACTCAGTCTTGTCCACATCTTTCCCCTCCTCCCCGCCCCGAGTTTCCTTTACCCTTGTAGCAAAGAAAGCATAAATAACAAAAGTAATCAAAACAAACAAACAAACAAAAACCCCAGAAAGTAACAGAATAAAATGATAGAAGACTAAGGATAAGTAAATAAAATAGTTGTCAAAGTATGTATAACAATATTGTTTAAAAATCAAGAAAATAAATCCATTTATTACAAAGATAGTGTTTGTTCATAGATATTGTAGCTGTTTTGGGGTTTGTTTGTTTTTTTGGCTTCCTTGACTTCCTCCATCTTTCCTTTGTTGATCAAGTTTCAACTAGTGATTTTTATGCCATTGTACTATATCTCTGAGTCCTCACGTAAAAAGAAAATTAAGCTTTTAATTTATCCCCCATCAGTGTTTTATGTGGCGGATTATTTTTTTCCATTAAATAATTTATTGCAATGATTATTTTGACAGTTGCATTGAATTTTATACTATGATAACAACAGCACTTAGACATTAACTCTAGGTTTGCTATTTTCATTGCTCACACCACTGGTTTTTATACCGTATATTTTCCATACTTGCCCGCTTCCACTGAGGGACAAGCTTCAGGGATGAGGTGTCAGTGAACACACCTCACACTCTGTCAGGGGCACCGGAATGTCTCCCCTGGAGGCTCACTGTGTTCCCTCACTGAAGCCCCTGCCTATGGTCCAGAGGGTCCAGAAACTTCTCCTTAATCTCTGAGCACTATCAGATCCCATAGGAAAATTATCAGGCCACTGACCAGCAATTACAATCCCTTCTACAGTCTCAGAGTAGCCCTTCCTAAAAGATAACAGCCCTGCTTTGTAGATGATGCTAAAAACAATAATAATGATAATAATACTGCTTACTATTATATTTAGTGAGGCTCACTATGCACTAGGTGCTTCCTCAACAAATCTTTGACATAACACTATCACCACCATCATTTTACAATGGAGACACTAAAACTCAGAGAGGTTAAGTGACTTTTCCAAAGTCACACAGCTAGGAAATGAACAAATCAGAATCCTGGCTCTTTTCCGAGACTAAGATCTTTTCACTGCACCCACATGGATCTTACTGCCTCTAACATGGGTGGAAGGTAATATGGGTGCCTCTCACAGGGCAACTGGGAGGATCCAATAAGAAGGTAACTTGCTACAGAGCCAGGCACATAGTACATGTTCAACACAAGAAGGTTTCCTTTCCTTCATCTCCTCATGAACTTGAAGGTATGAGCTTGAACCGAATCTCAAATGGGCTAAGAAGAGGTCACAAACAATGGAAGTTTCTGGAAAATGAGAGAAAAGGAAAGCCAGGAGGAAAGCTCCAATGATAATGAAAATTACAGGGGTACTTCACAAACATTGGTTACATTTATTACGTCAGTAATTGGCAAACTTCTATAAGGGCCCAGATATAAAATGCAATATTTTAGGCTTTGAGGGCCAGATGGTCTCTGTCATATCTGTTACCTCTGCTGCTGTAGCACAAAAATCAGCCACAGGCAATATGTAAAGGAGTAGGTGTGGCTGCGTGCCAATAAAGCTTTATTTACAAAAAACAAGTAGAGGGCCAGATTTCGCCTATGGCCATGGATTGCCAACTCCTGTGTTAGCTGAATGTTGTTAAATGCAAAGAAATGCCCGTCTTTAGAGCTGAGATTCAAATCAAGGTGTGGTTCCCCCGCCCATGTCCTCAGGCACAATATCAACAGGTGCGCTGTCCCTGGCTAAACCCTGCCCTGGCCACCAGCTGCGCTCTCGCTCTGACTCACAATGCAACCTCTCTTTAAAATCAGAAAGGCCTGGGCTGCTGACAGAGATTTGGTGGTTGGCCACTGTCCTCCAAATCTGAGCGTCCATTGCTGCTTTGAGCCTCCTTCTCATGTCCCTGACTGGGCCTCCGCCTTGAGCTGCCCTCGTCAGAACTACCCAGGGCCATTTTACTTCTCTGACCCTCCCGGGTTCCCAAGACTGCTCCTGTTACTCATTCACTCACTCGTTCATTCAAAAAACCTTTCCCGAGGGCTGTTATGCCTGAGATCCTGGGCTAGATGGAGAAGACCAAGGTTAGACTGAAAGCACCAGATCTGAGTGCACAGTCTGATGGAGGAGGCAGAGAGGCACCCATATAGTTTTAACCAGTACAGGAGCACGGGCGTTCAAAGGAACCTGGGCCAGGCAGAAAGGGGTCCTTCTAATGTTGGGAGAGCCAGAAAGCCTTTCCCCAGGGGAACGCTCTCTGCTGCCTCTTGGAGAAGTTTGTAGAAAACAAGTCAGGGCGTGGAGGGCACTTCCTGGGCCAGGAGCCCATGCCAGGGCAGAGAGGCATGGAGTAATGTGATGGTTAATTTTATGTGTCAACTTGACTGGGCCACAGTTGCCGACAAGTGGTCAAACATCATTCTGGGTGTGTCTGTGAGGGTGTTTCTGGGTAAGATTAACATTTGAATCAATGGACTGAGTAAAGCAGATTGCCCTTCCCAGTGTGGGCGGGCCTCCTCTAATCAGTTGAAGACTTGACAAGAACAAAAAGGCTGAGTAAGAGGGAACTTCTGCCCAGCTGTGGGACATTGGTCTTCTCCTGCCCTCAGGCTGGAACTACGGCATCAGTAGCTCCCCTGGGTCTCCAGCTTGCTGACTGGAGATCTTCGGGCTTCTCAGCCACCATGGACACGTGAGCCAATTCCTTCTAATATCTATCTATCTATCTATCTATCTATCTATCTATCTATCTAAACTACTGGTTCCATTTCTCTAAAGAACGCAGACTGATACAGGTGACACGCTGCGCTCTGCAACAGCCTGGCCTAGCTGGAGTGCCAGAGAGTGGGGGACGAGGACCAAGGGCTGTCAGAGGCTGTTAGGACTCGGAGGGCCGGTGTGTTTGGCAGAGGCGGACGGACAGTGCCCGCACATGCTAAGGGGCTGGACGCAGGCTTTAAGCAGTGGAGCGTCGAACCCAGGTCTGCGCTGACAGCGGCCGGGCAGCGCTGGGGTCCGCAGCGGAACCGCCTCCCTGGGGAAAGCGGTCTCAGGACTCTAAGAAGAGTCTCTGGACTCTGAGAAGCAGCGGAGGCCCTGTGCGTTCATTTGCTATGGCTGTTGTAACGCATTAGCACAAATTTAGTGGCTTAAAAGAAT